CGACGGCGACGGCGACGGCGACGACGACGACGACGACGACGCGACGCGACGGCGACGACGCGACCATCCTCCTCCTCATCCTCCTCATCTTCATCCTCCTCATCCTCATCCTCTTCTGCGTCGTCGTCGTCGTCGTCGTCGTCGTCGTCGTCGTCGTCGTCGTCTCGTCGTCGTCGTCGTTCCGTGCGGGAGCGGCGCGCGCGAGAGAGAGAGAGTGGCGACGGCGGCGACGGCGACGGCGACGGCGACGACGACTGACGTCGACGACGACGACGAGGACCATCCTCCTCCTTTTCCTCCTTCTCCTCCTCCTCCTCCTCCTCCTCTTCCTCCTCCTCCTCCACACTTCCCGCGGGAGCGGCGCGCGCGAGAGAGAGAGAGTGGCGACGGCGGCGACGGCGACGGCGACGGCGACGACGACTGACGTCGACGACGACGACGAGGACCATCCTCCTCCTTTTCCTCCTTCTCCTCCTCCTCCTCCTCCTCCTCTTCCTCCTCCTCCTCCTCCTCCTCCTCCCCATCCCCCGACTCCTCATCCTCATCCTCATCACCCTCCTCTTCCTCCTCCTCCTCCTTTTCCTCCTCCTCCTCTTCCTCCTCTTCCTCCTTCTCCTCCGCCTCCTCCTCCGAGCCGATTTCTGGCCGTCTGGGGACCATCTTGGGCGTTTGGGAAGCGTCTGGGGCAGTCCTGGAATCCTCTTGGGCCCGTCGCGGGGGGCATCCTGGGCCTGGGCCCCCCCCTTCCCTTTGAAAACGGGGCCCCCTGGCTCCGGAACCCGATCCCTTACCCCACCACCCACTACGCACCACCTAATACGCACCAGTCACGGCCCACTACTCAGTTTTCACTACCCAGCACTCACTACACCCGAGTGACAAGGCCGGGGCCGGCGCCGCTATTCAGAGGAATTCCTGGAGCCAGGCATCACTCGCTGCTCGCTACTCGCTACTCGCTACCCCTTTCTCCCTACTCCCTTCTTCCTGCTCGCAACTTGATACTCGCGATTCGCTACTCCCTTCTCCCTACTCGCAACTCGCTACTCGCAACTCGCAACTCGTTGCTCGCTACTCCCTACTCGCTACTCCCTACTGAGAAGTACACACTCACTACTCATGACCCGCGACTCACGACTCGCTACTCCCTACTCCCCATTCCCTATCCCCTACTCTCTACTCGCGGCCAACGACTCACTCCGTATCCCCTACTCTCTACTCACGGCCCTGTTTTTTCTGAGGACCTGTTGGATTTGTGAAACTCCCGGGATTTTTCGATTTCTGGAGTGTCGGGATTTTCTGGATATACTCACAACGCACTACCCAAATATACTCACAACGCACTACTCACCATGCGCCACTCACCACGCACTTTCTCTATTCCAAGAATGTTCTGAATATCTGTTGTTTCTGGAATGTCTGGAATGTCTGGATTTTCTGGAATTTCTAGAGTTTCTGGAATTTCTGGAATTTCTGGAAATGCCAGAAATTCTAGAAATCCCGGAAATTCAAAAAATTCCCGGGAAATTCATAAATTCCAGAAATTCAGAGGAGACCCAGAAATTCCAGAAAATCCAGAAATCTCATAAGGAAATCCATAAATTCCAGAAATTCCAGAATATTGAAAAATTCCAAGAATTCCAGAAATTCCAGAACATCTGGAAATTCCAGAAATTCCAGAAATTCTTGGGAAATCCAGAAAATCCAGAAATTCCACAAATTCCCAGAAAATCCAGAAATTCAGAAATTCCAAAAAAATCCTCGGAGTAGCGGCCCGGCCGTGGCTCGCACTGAATTTTCGTTCACCACCATTCCCGTCGAGGGCAGAGGCCTCCAGCGTCGGCGGCACTGGCCGATGGCTTCAACAATAAGCTGGCATCCGCGCGAGCGCGCTGGAGCCACGATGGCGGCGGCGGGCGCGCACGGGCATTTTTCGAGCCGGGGCCACCCGGCACTGGAATGCGTCCCTCCGAAAAGCTTTGGCCACGGAAGAACACTCGATGAGAGCTGTGTTGTTCCCATCGTACTTGAGGACCACATCCCTGAACAATTTCGAGCACCCAAAGAAGTATCGAAACAGTGCCGAACGAGCATCTCCTCACAAGCCCGACATGTGCAAATCATCCAGTTTTGGTACTTTCTTGGCGCTCGAGATTATTTCTGGTCGTCAAGGCTACAGTAGGTTGTAACATCGTAAGAAGATAGGCGGTGAAACAGTGTCGCTGCGCCGCGTTGCAGTATCAGTCGCGTCTAGCAGCCGGCTGCCTCGTGCGCCTCACACATGACTCAATCGCCTCAGTCCGGACGGTGACATGGTGAACCCTAGCGAGCCACGCGTGCTCGTCCATGGCCGGTGCATGCGTGTGATGCGCCGCCCGTGGCCCAGGTCGTTCCATCGCAACGGCACCTGGCGACAGGGAAACCTCAGAAACAAGCTCCTCACTCTGAGCAGGCAAGCGACGACGAACGCGCAGGCGGGAGCCTAGGGCCAGCGGGGCAGGTGGGCAGGCGGGAGGGGGGGGGCGAGAAGACCGCAGGCAGGGAACAGGAGGAAAGTGAGGAAAACGAGGAGGAGGAGGAGGAGGAGGAGGAGGAGGAGGGGAAGAGAAGCAACCGCAAGCAGGCTGGCATGGCCAGGGGCATGGAGAGAAGAGCCGCCCACGACTAGGCTACGGACGCTAAGGTGGCGACACCGAGCAGGTGGCGCAGGCGAAGCGGTGGAGCGGGCGGAAGGGTTGACAAGCCTCCCATCTTCGAAACTGCAGTCACAGTTGACGTCCCGCAACAGCGGCATCTGATTCCGCTGTTGCTGGATTAGCTACCGAATACCGTAGATGGATCGGCACGCGGTTGGACCCTCAGCGTCGCCGCGTCGCCACGGGTGTCAAGACCATTGTCTCAAGAGTGTGGACTGGCCTCCACGGGCCATCCCATTGGAATGGAAGCAGCAGCGACACACGACCAACATACTGGACAACGCTGGCGCCCTCTTGTGAACGTCTCGGACTGGGATGCGTGCCTGGACCAGTTGCAGCAGGAGAGGATGCCCCATGACATACAGGTCACCCTGGCGCGAGGTCGGGCGTGTCCCCCTACAGGCGGATTTTGGACGAAAAATAAAAAATAGTCGAAACATGCACGAAAAATATTCGAAAATACTAGGAACAGATTCCTCCGACTAGTGTTTTAACATTCTTGTCCGACTTAACCTTGGCGCAGGAACTCGTATCATTACGCCCACGAGCATCACTCCGAGGATGCTGGTCGAGCGACAGGCGGCCTCAGCTAAGTCGCCACCTCCACCTCTGCACGGACGCTGACGCGGACACGCGCTGGACTGGGCTGGCCACGGGCACGGGCGGCACATCGGTGGGGCGTCCGCATCCTCATGCGCGACGGGGTTGCGTGCGTTGCAGCGCGAAGATCTGGGCTCGTGGTGAACAACTCGCTGCCCGGTTCGGCTGGGCCTCTGGATGACCACCAGCAGCCTCGAGGCGAGGATCACCATGGCGACTGCTGCCTTGCACACCGGCCAAGACGTGAGCGACTTCCGCCTTGGTCGTGATCGCAGGCCGACTGGAACATGCTGCTAACCGTCCCCGGTGAGCTCCGCTCGGGACGCCCTCCCCGCCCCCGGCGCGCACGGCCTGCCCGCCTGCACCACGGCCACGGCTGCCCGCTAGCTGGACTATGTACTTGCGCGTCGCCAACGGAAGCCCGTGGAGTCCGCCGCCAAGCTCGAGGACGCGATTCCGATGCGCGCGCACACACCTGGCCGAGACCTGCGTCTCGGGGCGGCATCACCAACCCAACTGGTCCCGGTGGTGCACGAGGTGAGAACTTTCCTGACCAGCGTTGCCATCGGTCCGCGGAGGCCCCTGCCGACTTGGCGCCGTACTCACAAAGAGGTGGACTGGGTCGCCTCTAGGAACGGACTGGGAATCGCCTGCGGCCACCTGTTCGAGCGGTACGAGGAACAATCTGCTAACGGCCTGCAGGGCGACGAGTTGAGGCATCGCGATAGAGCCACGGGGGCGCCAAGGACACCCAAGTCCACTTGCACCGTCACAGGTGTTCTTGGCAGCTCGATGCTCGCCATGACGTCGGACTCGCATTCGGCTTGGCTGGCGGATCGTCTCGCTGAGCAGCATCACCTTCGCGATGCCCCAAGGCCAGATGTTCGCGAGTACACCCGTATCCCGCTCCGCGCATCCTGCGGTTCAGCCCATAGACACAGGATACGGTCTACCACCATCTGTGGGAGACCTGAAGGGCTGTGGTCGGGAAGCTTGACGACCTCTCCGATGCCGACGTCGACCAGCTGGTCTCGCAATCCAAGCGATCGGAATTGTTAGGAGGACTAGTCAGAACATGTGGTTATTCATGCCCTGTTTGTAACAGGTCTGGGCTGTCAGAAGGACGGAGTGACCACGTCGGCAACAAACACAACATGTATGATGCCTATGGTCCCATGTATTTCTGCAGTCTCGAAGTCAAACAGCAGCCACGAAAGGGGCACTAAGAAAAAGAGGACAGCACCGAACATCGGGGTCTCAGGACGGCCTCACAGCGGGGACGTGGGAAGCGGATGAGGTGCTACTTCCCACACAGCCAGACGTGGCTTTTGATCGTGACGTGCCCGCCCCACACCCACCCCTCAAGCTCACACAAACGACACTTGTTCGGACCTCTCGACCCGATTCTGGGGACCGGTATTTCTCATCACGACTTGTTTCTTGATGATCCCAGGGCCTCACATGGGCCTCCAAGTGCCCAGATGAACGAAAAGCCGACCGTTGCGTGTGTTTTGCGAGGCATCCCATCCACTCCACCTAATTGACACTCGGACCTGCGCTGGGGCACGTTCTGGCCAGCTTGCGAGCTGCATGGAGCCGTGGCGGGGAGGAAGCCCCAGGAGACCAGGGCGAAGACCAAGAATTCCCCTCTCCTCCCTCCAAGCCCCCCCCTCGCCTGCCCCTGCCTCCTCCGCCCGAACCCCGCACCCTGGACGGAGTTCGCGGCCAGGTGGTGGTACACGGCGTCCAGCGAGGCGTCAGCCGCGGCCAGACCGGCCCCTGGCCCGAGCTCCAAGACCCTGGAGAAGCCGCGACGGCTCGAGCAGTCCTCGAGGTGGGCTCTGACCTGAAGGGACGACGACGACGACGACGACCACCACCACCACCATCACCGACGACCACGACGCGCACATGACGTCGACCACGACAGCGTCGTCGACGACGTTGTCATCGGCGTCATTGTCGTCGACGCCGGCGACGTCTTCGACGTCGGGCGCATACGCCCACGGTGGGTGTGCACGTGAATGCGCGTGCGACCAAGGGTGCATATGACGGTAAGCTGACCGTCAGCGCAGGATGTGCCTCGCGGGGATCCGTGCGGAGATTTCGACGGCGACCCCTCGGGCAAGGAGGAGGAAGAGGAGGAAGAGGATGAGGATGAGGAGGAGCAGGAGGGGAGAAAGGAGCGACTACCCAAGGAGGGGCACAGGCGTCCAAGAGACCGGGACGGTGTACTGCTTCTTCTCTGGGGCACGGAAGACCTGTACACGGTTCCCGTGCCTGGGAGGTCGCCGGCGCACCAGGGTGAAAGAAGGTCGGAAAGCTCAGATCTCCTGGGGACTCAAGTGGAACACGTGAGACGTAAAGATTTCATGGCGTGATGGGCGGGAGGAGAAAAAGCAAACAAAAACAAAGAAGTTAGAACGCGTACAATGTGAACACTCATGCCCCAAATCGCCTTCCGATAATTCGTGCGGGAGAGCCACATGCTGAACTGCCGCACCGCCTGCCGCACCTCGGAATGCTCCTCGTTTGGCCACGTGAGCATCGACCTCGCGGGAAGCGGCGTCAGCACCGCCGATGGAGGGCGGGCGAAAGCAAGTGAGAAGGACGTCGGAGGGACGACGGAGGAGGGGGGACGGGGGGATGAGGGATAGAGTTAGGTCGGGCATGGCCTCCTATGGGCGGATTTGAAAAGAAAAATAAGAATCCGCCGACCCAGACGACGGTCCCGTCGACGGGGAGCCCCATCCTTCCCATCCTCCTCTCCCGTCGGGGAGAGAGAGAGAGAGAGAGAGAGAAAGGGAGAAAGAGAGAGCACCCTTTCCGGTTCGGGGAACGGATTCGCAGCTGAGGGAATTCCATCCACGTCCTCATTACGTCAAAAGCAAGCCCCTTCCCTTTGTCCCTTCCCCAGCGGGGGGGGGGTCCCAGGGGGGGTCCTTTTCCTCCTCCTTCTCCTTCTCCTCCTCCTCCGCCTCATCTCAGCCTCCTCCTCCTCCTTCTCCTCCTCCTCGTGACCCTCCTGGTCGTCGTCAATGTCTTTCAGAGTCGGCGGCACTGGCCGTCAGGCCTTCACAACAGTCAGAAATAACCAAACATATGTGTCTTGTATGTACACATACCAGACTGAAGTTCTATTATTCTTGAATATATTCCCCAGTAGAGGTACATGCCTGATTTAAGGATGGAGACGACTTGAAAAGCTGTGGGTGGCCCTCAGAGCCCTAATAGGGGGTGTTCAGACCGCCAGTAACCCTCAGGATTGTGGGGGTCCTGAGGATTTCTAAGGGAGTCATGAGGGATCTCGGAGGTGCGCGGGAGGAATGTGGATGCGGGAGTGAGAGGGATGCAGGGCAGAAAGGCAGGGGGAGCAGGGGGAGCCAGATGGGGAAGCAGGAGGAGCAGGAGGGATCCGGACATCTGGACCTCTGGCGGGCTGACGCCTTCCGATGCGCAGACGCCAAAACTCTCGACCCCATCCCCAGGAACAGGCTTCCTCCGCGGATCGGTTCCTGATGGCCCCGTAACCCGAGATCGATCCCCGAAGGCTGACCGTGGAAGAAACGCTGGCACTGAAAGAAAAGATGCTGAAGGTCTGAGGAGGAGGGCGGAGGAGCGGAAGAACGGGAGGAGAGGGAGGCCGGCTGGCTGGCCTCTGGGCGCCGTGCTCGCCAGTGATGGAAAGGGCCGCGACGAGCGTGAAGGCGTCGTGGGCATGCTCTCCCAGAGCTCCTTCTCCTCCTCTTCCTACTCATCCCCTGCCTCTTCGAGGATCGAGAATCGAGGTTCGATCCCTCATCGCCCTCCCTCCTCTCCACTTTCCACTATATCCACTCTCTACTTTCCTCCACCTCCACCTCCTCCTCCTCCTCCTCCTCCTCCTCCTCCTCCTCCTCCTCGAGGAGAAGGCGGGCCACCTGGCCGCAACGCTGGGCCCTCCGAACCTGCCGGGCAAGCGGCCCCGCGGAGGCCGGCGCCGCCCTGGCGCATGGGTGCTGCGAGCCAGCGCCCGGCGCCCCCACCGGCCGGTGCCCGCCCTGCTGCCGTCTGCGCTCTCCTGCTCCTCCTCTTCTCGGGCCGCCCCGTGCCCGTGGCGCGCCGCGGCGGAGCGCAGGGCGCAGGCGTCGGGTGTGGCCAGGCGTGCCCCGATCGCCCCAGGTGCCCCCGGGATTCCCAAGGAGGCCTCCGCGGCCTCCGGGGCACCCCTCACGAGGCCCCGAGGGCCCCATGGGCTCCAGAACGGAGCGAAGATAGCTGGGAGCGCCTCGGGCCAGGGGCGCCGCTGTCGGCCCCCGACAGGGCGCAGGAGGCGGCACAAGCGCACGCTCGAGCGTCGCAGGCTGCCCCATGGAGCTTCGCAGACACGTCCTCCACCGGGGCCGCGAGCCCACGGCTCTCGGCGCGGCACGGGCGGACGCGCTGCGGGCCCGCCGCGCGTCCGGCGGGCAGCTCCCCACGCGCCGCCTCCTGCTCCTCCGGCCGCGCGCCTAGCGACCCCTCCTGGAACATTCCGGTCGGCCTCTGCCGAGGCCGTCCCTGGTTGTGAGTTGCAGCCGGGAGTCGAGACCGACCTGCGTCTGTGGTTCCAGGATGGGGTCCCGGGGGATGGGGTCTCCAGGACGAGGTGCCTCACACATCGCACGTCCACCCTGCGATCCCTTCCTATCCTTAACACCCCATCCCGCAGGACCCATCTTTGAACCACCAAAAAAAGGAGGCTCCAATTGTGCCGACAATCCAGGCGACGCCCTCCCGGGAGCTGCCCGACGCTGCGCCGACCATGCCGCCGCAAGGCACCGGCGCCATTGTCGCCGTACCCGCCTCCGCGGACCCGGACATGGCCATGGGCACGGCGCCACAGCCGACCGCTGCAGAGCACAGGCTCCCGCCGCCGCGCCGCCGCAGTGCCTGCGCCGAAGCCCTGACGCGGAGGACGGCCAGAAGGATGATTCGAAGGACGACGGCGGTCCGAAGCAGAAGGCGGCCGCCGAGCCAGTTACTGCCAGCTGGGAGGGCGCCAACAGCGAGGAGACGAGAAGGCGGACGGCGGCTTTCCGCTCGTTGGCCGAAGCGCGCTCGAGGAGGGTTCCAGAGATGGCTTCCGAGGAACGCTTTCGAGGCTGAGGCCCCGATGGCAAATAAGACTGCCTGAATGTGTTGATTGTGTGATCGGAAGGGCTGTTTTTGGATCCGGGGGGGGGCGACCGATAACCTGACCTTCGCGCTGTGGGCAGCCCCGCATATGCCCGCGCGCACCAGTCCTGCGGCCCCTACAGCTGCTAAAGATGCTGCGACAATGCTACGATCCGTGCTGCGGCGATGAGGGCGCCGTCTGAGAATGAATGCCGAGGGCTGTGTCTGGACCTGCTCAACCGAGGGTGAGGTTATCCGGAGGGGGGGGGGGGGCGAGCCCGATAACCCGGGTGATCGCCAGAACCTGAAACAAGACTCGAGTGGTTGAGCGCTATGTACCACACATCTTGTGTTTGGAATGCTCGCGCTTGTCACGCAGCTTCTTCGCATGGTTCGCATATCGCAGGCTTGCGCCTGCAGCCGCACCCATGACTTGAGACTGGTGTGCCGAGTGGGCCTGAGGCCCCTCGGCAAGATCGGCCTCAGGGGTGCCCCTCCTCGGCATGAAGGGCGGCAGGGCGACAGTCTGAATAAGAGTTGCGCTGCGATCGTTGCCCTGTTTCACGGCTTATGCAATTTGTCCGAGCATCTGCTCATGCGTCTTGGCGCGAGGACCGCCCGCATGAACCGAGTCGAGCCTGAGTCGAACTTGACTCGAACTTGAGCCGAATTTTTTTGTTTTTTTTTTGCCCGCGGGAGCCCCCCTGGAGGGGACGGCGCCGGTGCCACAAAAGCGCGCCAGTGCCGAAAGCGCACTGGTGCCCAAGCGCACACGTGCGAGGGCGCACCGGTGCCAACACGCACAGGTGCCCGCGCTGGCTGGACCGCGGCGGCGTGCTGGGCCCTCGGCTGCGGCCGCGGGCGCGCGTCGTCGCGGGCGCGGGCGCCACTCGCCGCGGGCAGCCCCGAGGGAACGGAGGCGAAGCGCCGCCCGCCACTGGGGAGGCCGCCGCCTACCCGAACTCCACCAACCTCGTCACGTCCACGCGGCGGGCTTTTGTCACCGGCTCCGAGGCAGTAGCGTGCCGCTTCGCCTTCTCCATGTATGCCACTATCCTCTCGACCTCCTCGTCGGGGGAGTTGCCGAGACCCAGGTGCTGAAGCCTGGCCAATCGTGGTCGGCCAAAGGCTGGCTCGGGGGGGGGCGCCGTCTTGACCGATTGCGGGGTCGGGATGCCGCGTATCTGGAAGTAGGAGGCATTCACGAACATGGCGTCCTTGTAATGGAAGCGCGGCTCGACATGGTTGATCCAACACGCATCCAGACCTCCGATGTACTTGAAGCTGGCGTTGTGCAGGATCTCAAAGACGAGTTCTTCAGTGGCATCATTGAACCGAGCTAGCCACGGCCAGTGCGACGGCCGTCGAACTTAACCAGGATGACGCCGATCTCAATGTTCTTCCCCAAGTTCAGCACGGTCTCGTTGAGGACCTCCGCCTCGTACCCACCAATATTCAGGCTCCAGAAGTCGTTGCTGTTCTGGCCGCCCATCTCTTCAAGAAAGATCGGCAAGGCGTAGGCGTCGATCTTCTGTCCGCTCAACATGTCGATCGTGCTGTCCTGGGCAAATCCGATCTTCGTAGCGTTCTCGTTTGGAGGCATGGCCCCAAGAAGGCTTGCCCCACAAGGTCACAAACTCGTAGACGCCAGGCTCTAAGATCAGGCCGCGCCAGGCTGTGAGCTCGAGCAAGAGTGTTGCTGTCCTTCTCACCATCTGCCCCGTTGGAGTCAAGGTAAAACCCGTTGGTGATGCGTTCCAGCACCTGCGTGATGAGCTTGACGTCCTGTGAAGCCTGCTGAAGCTCTGGACGTTGTCGCCCTTCTCCAGGCTGTACTCGGTCTCCTTGGGGAAATCTATGCAGGGCATGGCCGAGTGGTGGGCGACCGGCAGCGAGTCGCCAGTTCGGGGAGACCCGACGGCCCACGGCAGTCGGAGCCCTGGCTATACCCCTGCGACTGCCGCCCGGACGCGTCCGTCCCGCCCTCGGCATTGGAACTCCGCCGAAAGCTGGAAATCCGCCACCACTCTGTGAGTATCGTTTAACCGATCCCCATCCCCAGCGGCGTGGCCTGGGCCCCGCTGGCCGATTTACCACCCTAGATGGGGATATAGGATATAGATCGTTCTCTTCGGGCTTCGAGGGGTGCATCCCCAACTGGGGTGGCAATTTGGTGGGGTCTCGAAGGGGATGGAGATGAGGATGGGGATCGGGTAAACGATACCGACTCTCTGCGCCTTGCTCGCGTCTAGGCCCAGGAGGCTGGAGCGGTGCCCGCCGGACGGCCTGGAGACCCCCGCCCTGCGGACGCCGCCCGGCGGCACGAGCACCGGCCTCCTGGACGATGCGGAGGAGGAGGAGGAGGAGGAGGAGGAGGAGGAGGAGGAGGAGGAGGAGGAGGAGGAGGAGCCTCCCGATGCACGGCCTCCGCCGAGGCAGCCACGGCCTCCACCCGGGCACGCGCGGCGGCGCTACGGCCGGTCGCGCTCCCGACGTTCAGGCCGACGGCACGGGCCAGGGAAGCGGAGAGCATCAGCAGCAGCGTCACTGGCATCTGGACAAGAATGGATGGTGCGGTGTCCAGACAGCTAGGTGCGCTGCAGAACGGCGCAGTCCAAGAGCCCAACAGGCCGAGACCAAAATGGCTTCAGCCAGAATGGCTACGGATGTCGAACCCGCGTCGAACTGGGGTCGAACAGGTCCCCTAGGTGGGCCCCGGGAAGAGCCCGAAAACGAGCATCTGACGGGAAGAGGAGCAAGCGTGCACGAGGGCCGAGCAGGACCGAGCGGGAGGAGGGCGTGCCTGCCCCTCTAGGGGAACGAAGAATGAGATAAAACAGACAGGCTCGGAGGTCCGCGCCGATTTCTCACATCGGCGCTGGACCCCCCTCCCTGGCGCGCGGAGCTCGCCACGGGCGGCGCCAGAGGCGCCGTCAGGGGGGTCCAGCGCGGATCCGAGAAATCCGCGCGGACCTCCGAGCTTTCCTGTTTATATCATTCTTCGTTCCCTTCCCCTCTGCCTGCGGGAGGACCCCCGGCCCCGCGGCTCCTGCTCCGAGGTCCAGGTACTTCTCCAGCAGCACCTCTGCCGGCGGGCCGCCGCGCGGGGAGGGGCCGAGGAGACGGGGGGCCGCAGTACGAGCGAAGGGGCCCAGGGGCACACAAAGAAAGAGGTACGAGCCCCAGGGCTCCCAACCATGTCCATGTGTTCTGGATTCTCGTCCTTCCCCTCCACTTCCCTAGTTTTGTCAAGATCTTCCTGAGGATCGATGTTAATTTTTGGGGGGTCTGTGCATTGCACTTCCTGAGAGAGAGAGGTGTGTTAGCGCATCATGGCCCGAGGCATGTGCGCGGGCGGGTGGGGGCCAAGGGATGTGCTGAAATAAGAGAGAGGGCGCCATGAGATCTGGGAGATATCGTGGCCCCCGCAATGAGATCCATATCCACCAATCCTGACTCCCCTCCCGCACGCCCCCAAACTGGAGCCTGAGGATGGCGGAGGGCCGACGAGGTGCTGAGGAGGGCCGGGAGGGTGAAGGGCCACGATATGGGGGCAGGGATGGGGTTGGGGGGGGGACATCGGCCTGGAAGCGATGGCGGATCCGCACGCTCCTAGGCGGGGTGGGCTATCAGGCCCTCGTCGGCGATGCACAGGCGACTGGGGATCGACGCACCCCCCCCTTTGAGCCTGTCCCTCCTTGACACACTGCCCCTGAGGAGGGCCCGGGCAGCGCCTGCACTCGAGAGACTGGCGCGAGAGGAGCTGGTCGGGGCGATCCCAACCTTTCCCTGCACCTCGGGAAGATGGCGGCGGTGGCTTCTCGCTGCCAGACAGACCAAGACAGGGACAACATCCCGGACTGGCACCACATCGGGGCTCTCTGAGATCCCGCGGTTCTGGAGGATGCACTGGGCGCCGCGGCCTCCTCAGAGCTATGGGTGAGCCAAAAAGGGGTCCAGCTGAAAAAGGGGGTGGTGCAATAGATTTGGGGCGATTTTATTGCAAATGTATTACGCCGGAGAATTGTATTGCATCGTATTGCAAGTAATGCATTGCACGCGAAAATGCAGCAGTACCTCTGCGCCCCCAAAATGTACTGCACGCCCCGAATGCATTGCAACCCGGCGAATCTATTGCACCAACTCTACTGCACCACCCCCTTGTCGCTGGACCCCCTTTCCCACGATCTTTTCACGACGTCGCCCCACAAAGGTTTGGAGCCCTTCCCGGGACCGGTTTTTCGTCCTGAGTTGTTGTTTGACGGTCCCGAGGCCCGGGAAGGGCCCCCGGAGGCCGAAAATGGCGAGAAACCTCCCGTCGTGATTTTTTCACAGCGCGAGGAGGTCTGGGTTTGGGGTCAACCCGAAGAGCGTTCGGTGGAACGCTCCTAGAGGGTGCCGGGGACGCCCTACAGGCGGATTTTGGACGAAACACAAAAATAGCGAAAACAGACCCAAAACAAGACTCAGAAATACTCAAAAAAACCGTCCCCGGACTAGTGTTTGGCTATCTTTGAATACCCCTCCTTTAGAGGGACAGGCCCGATGCAAACCCAGGACCGTTACACAACAGCTCGGGGGGGGTGGAGCACGAGGCCTCTGAAGCGGCGCGGGCGGGAGGTCCGGGGGCTGCCGCCTCCACGAGGTCGAGCTGTTGGAGGTCTGAGGATGGGGCGGCCCTCGAAGGAGACGGGCGGTGTCCGTCGCAGGAGGGGCCTGGGGGATCGAGGAAAAGCTCGTGTAGTGCAGGAGGGTCACTGAGCAACCCCTTGCTTTCTTCTGGGCAAGCGCGTTCCCCTAATCAGCTGCTCGCACAGCATAACTGCTCGCAAACGGCCTGGCTCCGCCGCGGGGGACTTACGACCAACTACATCGAGGCAAGCACGTGCTTGTCGGACGTTTGCCAAGGGTGGAACGCGCTCGGTCACCTTAGAGTACCACATCCCTCGCTCCACCCTGGCAGTACTCGCCGCGTCGCCCGCGTACCGCTCCGCTCCGCCATCGCGCCCCCTGTCGTCCGTCGTTCCTCGCTTCCTCGACGTCGTCGTCGTTCGGTGTCGCCATCGTGGCCGTCGTCGTTCGGAGTCGCCGTCGTCCTTCGTCAGCGTGGCCGCCGTCCCGTCCGGGCCCGCCCGCGCGCCCGCCAGGGGCCCGCCCACGCGCCCGCGTGACCGCCCCGCCCGCTGCAGTGCCTCGCCGGCTCCGCTCGCCGGGCCCGGATCCGCCCGCCCGCCCCGCCCGCCGTCGAGCCCAGGAAGGGAAAAAGGGAGTCAGAAAGGAATTGGATAAGGAAATTCCAGAGGTAGAAAGGAATCTCGTTTTCTTTTTGACGCCACGAGGTCTGGGCCAGGGAGGGAAAAGGGATGTAGGAAGGAATTCCATCTGATATTTTCAGAATTAGAACGGAATTTCGCGTGTTTGTGTCTTTTGTTTCCAGCGCCGGCCCGCATGTGAAAAAGTTCTGCTGGAGGATCGTGGACCTTCTGGCCTGGGTCAATCCAAACCTGGGTCAATCCAGACATTGCAGAATCCTACAAGATCCTGCAAGGCCCTGCGCACCCAAACCCGGGTCCACGCCAAGGATCCTGCCAGATCCTGCAGGATCCTGCACCCAAACTTGGGACCAGTGCGACCCTGGCCCTGCAGGATCCTGCAAGATCCGGCGCTCTGGCCGACCACCGTTTGCTTTGACTGACACGTTTCCTCAAGGGACGCCAGCGAAAGCGCCTTCTGAAAGCTGCGGCGTTGCACTTGCGACCTCGACAAGTGCGAGCGAAAGCGTCGCGCAACAACCTCATGGGCGAAGCCGCGCGGATTTTAGAAATCGGCAGCGCCCGTCTCAGCAACCCCTTCCCCTGGGGTTCCCTTGGGAACCACACGATGGACTCCCGCCCCTATTGAGCCCCGAGAGGAGCGGCCCGCCCACGGACCCGTCCTCGGCGAGGGGGCCCGCCGGAGGCGAGCCCGGGTCGGGCGCGCCGGTCCGCACCGCCACGGGGAGGAGGCCGTGGGAAGGAGCCCGGACGGGCCTGGCCGCCCGTCGAGCTGGCCCGCTGGCGACACGCCGCCCTCGGCCGACCGGCCAACCGGCCCGCGTGCGAAAGAGGTCCGCTGGAGGAGCAGCGGGAGAGCCCAGGATCGGATCGACGAGTCGGCTCGGCGATCGGCAGGAGTCGGAAGTCGGCAGCCAAGTCGGCAGCCAGGTCGGGCGAGGTCGAATCTCGGCGGACCTCGGCGGACCAGTATGCCTCCGATGAGACATCGGAGCCCAGATCGGAATGCCAAGTCGAACCGAGTCGAAATTGGAAGCCATCGAAGTCGAAGTCGAGTCGAAGCATAAGAATCGCAACGAGCCCCGAGAGGAGCGGGCCGCCGACGGGCGGGCCCTTTCGGCGGCGGGGCGCCCACCCCCGGGCGACGGGGCCCGGGCGGGCGAGCGGGCCCATAAAAAGCGCCAGGGGAAGGAGGAGGATCCGCGGCAAGGGAGCCGACAGTGATGGGCCTGTTTTCCACCACCACCAACACAAGTTGGAGGGGGAGGTGCTCCTCCTCCTCCTCCTCCTCCTCCTCCTCCTCCTCCTCCTCCTCCTCCTCCTCCTCCTCCTCCCCTCCCTCCCTCCCTCCTCCCTCCCTCCTCCCTCCCCCCTCCCTCCCTCCCCCTCCCTCCCTCCCTCCCCCCCTCCCTCCCTCCCTCCCTCCTCCTCCTCCTCCCCCTCCTCCTCCTCCTCCTCCTCCTCCTCCTCTCCTCCTCCTCCTCCTGCGGCGGCCGCGTGTCTGCCGCGCGCCGGGGGCGCATTGATCGGGGGCCTGCGCAATCCCCCAACCCCAGGACAAGCACGCCGCTCAGCGGCGAGCAAGCGCCGGAGCCGAGGGGGTGCGCCGACCGGGGCCTCTACCTCGCATACACGGGAGCACGGCGGCGACGCCCAGCAAGGTGTAGCCGAGTGCGAGCGCCGGTCGCCCGCCCCCTGGCGCCGCCCGCAGCTCCGCGCGCGCCAGCCGCCGTCGGGCCCCAGTGGCCCGGCGCCCCGGGCCCCGCGGCCGCGGCCCACCCAGTTCCCCGGCGGGGCAGCAGCGGCAGCAGCGCTGCGCCTGCCAGCGCCCCTCCGAGCCGCACGGGCGGCGCTGCGCTGCGCCGCGCCAGGCCGCCCAGCGCCGGCTCCGCCGGCGCCGCCGCCGCGCCGCAGTTGCCCAGCCGCCTCGGCGCGCGCCCAGCGCCCGCGGAGCAGCGCCCGAGCCCCAGCTGCAGCGGCTCGCCCGCCAGCCGCCCGGCGCGCGCCCCCAGCGCCAGCCGCTCAGCTCAGCTGCGGCCGCTCCCCCGCGCTCAGCTCGCGCGCGCGCGGCGGGCCGCCGGCTCGGCGCCGCCTGCCCCGCGGCGCGTCACCCCGCGCGCGGCCAGGCAGGCGGAGCGGAAGGCCTCCGCGCTCACGCGCTGCAGCGTCGCCGCGAGGCTCTGGCGACCCGCCGCCAGCACGGCGGCGTCGCCGCGCGCCCAAGTGCGGAGGAGCGCCTGCGCCTCCGCCCCAGCGCGCCCCAGCGCCTCCAGCGCGAAGGCTGTGAGGGCCGGGCCCGGGTAGCGCCTGTGTTTGCGCTCCTCCGCGGCTGCCGCGGCCGCGCCGTCCCGGACGGCTCGGCCCCGGCCCGCCGGCGTGTCTGCGCCCAGGACGGCGTCCGTGATCACCACGTCGACGCAGGACACGCCGGCAGCGGGGTCGGTGAAGACCACGTCGAGGCGGGCTGCCTCGACAGAGCCGTCCGCCCGAGCGAACTGCTCCGTGCCCACGCCCGTTGCGCCCCGGGCCTGCAGCCAGCCGGCGAGCCAGTCCCTGACGCCGTCGTGGCGGTGGCTCGTGCCGCCGCCGACGTGGCAGCCCAGGCAGTGCCCCGGCGTCGCGGCCAGGTCGGCCCCGCAGAGAGCGCCGTCCTCATCCTCTTCCTCCTCCTCCTCCTCCTCCTCCTCCTCCTCCTCCTCCTCCTCCTCCTCCTCCTCCTCCCTCCTCCTCCTCCTCGTCCTCCTCCTCCTCTTCCTTCCCTCCTCCTCCTCCTCCTCCTCCTCCTCCTCCTCCTCCTCCTCCTCCTCCTCCTCCCCCTCCTCCTGTTCCTCCTCCTCCTCCTCCTCTTCTTCGTCCTCCTTTTCTTCGTCCCCCTCCTCCTTCACCCCTCGAACTTATGGTGTTGGTGGTGGAAAATAAGCCCACCAGAGAGGGCGAAGGGTGCCCGCCTTCGCGTCGAAGCACCCAGGAACCTGGACGGGCGCGGCGCGGGCGTCGTCGCCGCCGCCGTCGTCGGCGTCGTGATCCTGGTCGTGTTCGTCGTCGTCCGCGTCGTGGTCATCGTCCTCGTCCTCGTGGTCGTCGCAGGAGGGCGAGGAGCAGTGAGGGGAGCGGCGGAGAAAAAGGGGGATCGCACGCCACTGAAGGAGAGAAAGAGAGAGAGAGAGAGAGGGAGAGGGAGAGAGAGAGAAAACAAAAAAAAAAGAAAGAGAGAGAACACAACAAATCCGACGGTTCAGCAAAAAACCCAAGGGGGTCCATCGTAGAGGACCTTTTTGTCACCCTGGTAGGAAAACCAAAGACCTGCCAGGGGCAAAGACAAGACCTCCCTTAGGAAAAATCACAACCGTCATGCTCGTCCTCGGGCATGTCTGCCCGCTCCTTTTGCAGAAGTCGGATCCCCAAGCTACGGGCTTCCACCTCGTTGAAACCAAAGCATGCAGGCAGTCGGCCATGCAGAAATCCCGCCCAGCTTGGCGACTCGAGGCAGCCACGCCCCGCTCTCCCCGTGGCTGGGCCCCTGAAGGAACGAAGGACCCCCCGAACAGTTCCCGCGCCTGGACCCCAGGAGAGACCCAGGGGCCCAGCCTAAGAGGGCGGTTCGGGTGCTTCCCCTTGGAAAAAGGCTTGTTTGCTCTTGCGCCCTGGACCCACTCGGGCAACCTGGTGGCCCAGACATAACCCCTTGAAACCTCGAGCCCCTGGGCTGCTGGTCGCATAGGCCCCACAAGTGGAGCAATACAAATGCGGGGCCTGGTTTCCCCCAAGGACTGGGAATTCCAGCATATGGTGGCCTCTTTCGGCCCAGGGGACCTGGGCTGCATCCGCAGCCAGGCGAGCCAACTCAGGCGCCAAGGGTTCGGGGGGTGCCTGGGAAGTGCTTTCGGGTTGAGGCGGGGCGAGGGCAACAGCAGCACCAGCTGCCTCCTCATCCTCCCTCCTAACCACCTCCAAGGCCTCTCCCCACTGGGGGTCCCCCTCCAGGGAAACCAACGCGAGCCCTTGGGCCCCGACGTTGTCGCATCGGCCCTCCTCCGAAGGAAAAACTTCAGCACGAGTGATACATCTGGCCAACGGGCGCGCTAAAAAGAGCATGCCCTTAGCTGCCCACGCCTCCGAAGGGCCGCGCCTGCTGAGGGTGGTTCCAGCTTTGGCCAATCGGTCCGCTGCAGAGTTGCCCGTTCTTTCAAAGGCCGAGACCCGCCTCTCACGAACATCAGCCTCCGACGAGTGAGCCAACACATTTGTCCAAGAAGTGTCGCCTGGCGAGCCCTCGGCAAAAGTCTGGTTCCACACATGAGCCCTGACGTTGCCCGCGCGGCAAGCGAACCGCCGATCCGAGACTCACTGGCATGATTTGGGCCTGTTGGCCCTCTTGGGGGTCCAACAAGGCTTCGGGGGGGGTCCAGATGCCCCCAAGACGGCCCAAGACGGCCCCAGGACGGTCCAAGATGGCCCCGAAAAGGGCCAACAAAAACACTCCCAAGACGCCCTAAGAGGGCCCCAAGAGGACCCCCAGGAGTGCCTCCAGCGGCCAAAATCATCGATGTCCCAAAAGGTTTTGAAGATTTGTGTGTTCTCGCTTATTTCGACTCTCGCAGGCCCAGGGCGACCCAAGCAGCCTCCAAAATCGTCCCAGAACTGCCCAAGAAGTCCCCCAGAGGGCCCCGATGCAGCCCAAGAGAACTCCAAGACGGCCCAAAGAGGCCCCCAACACGGTCGAAGAGGCCCCCAAGACAGCTCAATAATACCCCAAGATTGCCCCAAGGCGTCCGCGAGAGCCCCCCAAGACGGCCTCCGAAGGTGCCAAATGGCGCAAAAGCGCCTCAAGAGGGCTCAAGACGCCCCCAAGAGGCCCCAAGAGGCCCCTTAATTGCACCCGAGTAGCGCCCAAAAGGCCCCAAGGAGGCCCCCAAGAAGCCCCCGAAAGGCCCCACAACGATTGGACTGAGCGGCCACTTGACGGTCCCTCAGAAGCCCCGAAAAGGCCACCAAGAAGCCTCCTCGAGGGTTCCGATAAGCTTCCAGTACGCCCAACAACGACCTCACTCACTGCGAGTGCTCCGACGAGCAGGGCAAACCAGCCAACGCCCAACCTGCACGTCTCGTCTTCTCGTGTTTTTGTTTCGAGGGGGCGGTCGCCGGGGGCTCACGCGCGTTCCCTCTTGTTGCAGACATCGGCCCGGCAGCGGGGGCGCATGGATGCCGCGGACAGCGCAGACACAGCACGCCGCGAATTCGCCGACTCAAGGCGACGTTTGGGAGAAGGCGAGCAAAGCGTGAAGAGCGAGATGGAGCATGCGGCATGCCAGAGGTCGAAGGCGAAGAGAGACGCCAACCGCCCGAGTGCGCACTACGGCCCAAGAGGACCCCAAATGGGCTCCAATGCGGCCGCGAGAGCCCCCCAAGACGGCCTCTGAGGGGGCGAAACGGCGCAAAAGCACCCCAAGACGGCACAAGACGCCCCCAAGAGGCCCCAAGAGGCCCCCAAGAAGCCTCCAAGAAGTCCCCCAGAAGCTTCCAAAAGGCCCCCAAAAAGCCCCCCAAAGGCCACACAGCGACTGGATTGTTATGTTATTTTCCCCCCTCTGGGCGAACTGCGGCGCAGCGCCAGCCAGGTGGAAGTTGGTCATTGCGGCGCCCATGATTAGAGCCGGCGCTGGAAGGGAAGATGGGAAGGGTGTATGAAAAGGAGGGAGGGGGGAAAGGCCCCAAAGAAGTCCCCAAGAGGCCAAAGGAAACTCCCAGGAGGCCTCCAGAAGGCCCCCAAGAGGCTCCCAAGAGGCCCCGCGACGACGTGACTGTACGTGCTCCGGACGTGCACCCCGCGAAGCGAGAGGAATCTACGAGAGGATGCGCAGCATCCTGGTGGGTCCACGGAAAAATCCTTGCTTTCTTCAGTTTCGACTGAGAACCATCTCTGGAGTGAACCATCTCTGCAGCTGACCCCCTGCTCGAGTCGTGGGCCCAGGTGCGCGAGGTCTCAGGCCCCGGCGCGCGGCGCTCCCCTCCCCCCCCCAGCAGGGGCCGCCGCTCGGAGCGTCGGCCCCAGGGGAACTGCCCCGCGGGATGGGGCGGCGGAGGTGCACCGTGGAGGCCAGTCCACAAGAGACCTTCCACAAGAAACCCAACCCTGAGACCCCAGGGTTTCCATCGAGTTCTGGTGCGGGAACGTCACGCGCTCCATCGCAAAAGCATCGAGACCCAAGAAACCCAGGGCACCATGGAGGCAAGCAAGATGTTTCTTGGCATGGGCCTCCACTGTACGCCGGCGGACCAGCTTGCGCCGTTTTCGATGCGGCAGACGTGTTCCGAGGGCCCCCGGGACGGTCCTGGAGAGGTTCCTGGAGTTTTGGGAAGGGGCTCCCGAGAATTAGTCTGCTCTCGAAGGGGTCCATGAAATCTCTTCTTTGGACGCCTGGAGATGGGTACGGAAGAACAGGTATGATACCCAACAACAAATCTTGTCCCAAACCGACAGTGGCCGCTGTTGGGCAGGCGGCTTCCTGTCTCAAATGGACAACGTCCGCGGCGACGCCGACAGCGAGTCCAGTTCCAAATGGGCAGGAACGGCTGTTCCTCTTCGTACCCATTCCTTCTGTCTCCGTTTCAATCGTCCCGATGTTCTGGGTTCAAGGGGGGTCCTGGAAGGTTCGGAAAGCTTTGGAGCAGCACAGAGGCTTGGGAGGCTTCGTCTTCGGCACCTCCGCGACCACCCCTGCCCCGACCACCGCCCCCGCCACCTGCTTCTCTGCCTGCTTATTTCGTCTGCTTATGTGCCTGTTTGCTGTCGTTGCTGCTCCTCTTCTCCTCCGCTCCCCCATACCCCTCCTCCTCCTTATCCTCCTCCTCCTTCTCCTCCTCCTCCTCTTTCTGTCCCGCCCGGCGGCAAATGGCGTCATTCTGCTAGTCGGCAGAGCTGGACTCAGCGATTCTAGGTGCCCTGGTGCACAGAAACTGCAGCCGTTTGTACCCCCCTGCTCCTCCTCCTCCTCCTCCTCCTCCTCCTCCTCCTCCTCCTCTTCCTCCTCCTCCTCCTCCTCCTCCTCCTCCTCCTCCTCCTCCTCTTCGCCACCCCCCTTCCTGGCTGGCGCTTTGCACGGTGCAGTCCTCTTCCCCTCAGTGGGGAAGCTGGCAGCATCTAGCGCAAATGCATCATGGACCATCGGCGATGCATCGGCGACGTCGGCGATGCAACGGCGCAGTTTGCATGGATAACTCTGGGCTCAACATCGAGCCGCATCGCCGACGCATCGGCGGTGCGGCGCGATCCTCCGACCCCGCCAACTCGTGCCCAAGTTGGGATGTCTGCCATGCGAAGAAGTGTGGAAGCGAGAGCTCCGACCGCAGAGGCAGGGCCAGCGTGAGGCGCACGCGCGATGGCCGACCGCCGCGGCGTCGGTGGTGAAGGGGGGTGGCCTGCCCCCGATGCGCCGCGCGGGCGGCGCCTCCGCATGGGGGGCGCGCCGACGCACGAGCGGCTCCGCGGAGGCCCGCGCACGAGACCGACCGTCTCGTTCGTCGGTCGTCGGTCGTCGGCTGGGTGCCGCCTGCGTCGAGGGAACCTGGCGGCCAGATCAGTGACAGCGGCGACCGTCAGGGCGACGGTCAGAGCCGCACTGCCGACGAAAAGACGTCAACACGGGCTTGGACGGGCGAGCGACGAGCGACGGGGAAGGAAGTCGGGGAGGAGGGGAGGACCTCTTCTCCTCCACCTCCTCATCCTCCTCCTCCTGCTCCTGCTCCTGCTCCTGCTCCCCCCATGCCTACGGGGCAGCCTGAAGGCTAGAGCTCCCGTATGGAAACCACGACAGCCGCAGAGCACCCTCTAAAACCTCCCAGGGATTCACCCTGGCTCCTTCCTGGCCCCCTCCTGGCCCTCTCCCTCGCTCAACTGGACGAGGATCAAGCTGCAGAAGCATGGCCTCTTGGACGCCTGATCTGATCTCTTGGGCCAACGCGCTGAAGAGCCCCCCACGCACCCCGTCCCCGGGGCGCACCACGAGGCGGCGCCGGAGGCGCCGCCTGAGGGGTTGCGGGAAAAAGGGGGATCCAGCGCCGACTCGGACAATCCAAGGCAGGACCTCCGAAAGCTTCTGTTCGTGTCGTGGCTCGGCCTTCTCACGCTCCTCCCCGCCCTCCACCCCCCCCCCTCCTCGAGCAGCAGGGCCGAGAGAGGCGAAAGCGGCGGGGCGGTGTGCACGAGAAGCCGAGGCACGGCGGCATCTCCAGACCTTCGCCGCGACAAGAGATGCAGAAGCGACCGGCACCGGTCAGGCCGCCAACGACGACGACGCTCCTCCATTCCCTTCATTCTGCTTCTCGTCTACCTTCTTCTTCTTCTTCTCCTCCTCCTCCTCCTCCTCCTCCTCCCTTCCTCCTCCTCTCCTCCTCCTCTCATCATCATAATCAGCAGCAGCATCAGCATCAGCATCAGCATCATCATCATCATCATCATCATCATCATCATCATCATCATCATCATCATCATCATCATCATCATCATCAGCATCAGCATCAGCATCATCATCATCATCATCATCATCATCATCAGCAGCAGCAGCATCATCATCATCATCATCATCATCCTCATCATCATCATCATCATCATCTTCATCATCATCATCTTCATCATCATCATCATCGTCATCATCATCACCAGCATCTTCATCATCATCATCATCACCAGCATCATCATCATCATCATCATCAGCATCATCATCAGCATCAGCATCATCATCATCATCATCCTCATCCTCATCCTCATCCTCATCCTCATCATCATTGTCATCATCGTCATCATCATCAGAATCATCATCATCATCATCATCATCGTCATCGTCATCGTCATCAGCAGCACCACCATCATCATCATCATCATCATCATCATCATCACCAGCATCGTCAGCATCAGCATCAGCAGCATCATCATCAGCATCGACATCAACAGCAGCATCATCATCACGATCATCATTAGTGGCAGCATCAACATCAGTACGAGCATGAACATCAGCAGCATCAGCATCAACATCAGCAGCATCAGCATCAGCATCATGGTTAGCATCATCATCATGATCATCATCAGCATCCGCATCATCCTCATCAGCATAGTCCTCATCAGCATCATCATCACGACCACAATAATCATGATCAGCAGCATCAGCATCAGAAGCATCAGCATCATCAGCATCATCAGCATCAGCATCATCATCACAGGCGTCATCACCAGCATCATCAGCATCATCAGCATCTTCAACAACATCATCATTACCATCCTCACCCTCATCCTGACCCTCATCCTTATCCTCATCCGCAGCCTCATCCACGCGTCCTCAATGTCCTCTTGCTCCTCTTCCTCCTCGTCCTTCTCCTCCTCATCATCATCATCATCCTCCTCGTCGTATGTTTCCCTTCCATTTCCTCCTCCTCCTCCTCCTCCTCCTCCTCCTCATTACCCCCCATTATCTTCCTACTGTTCCCTCCTCTTGCTCCTTCTCCTCCTCCTCCTCATCTTCCTCCTTTTTCTCCTCGTCCTCCTCCTCCTTCGCCTCCTCCTCCTTCTCCTCACTCCGCTCTCCTCCTCCCGCGACGACGACGACGGTGGCATGTACAGTAGCGAGGCACACAAAACACACATCGACATCCCATCGAAACGGGGAGTCCAAAATGCTGCTGGGAACCAGGCATGTGACAGATGTGAGCCTAGAATCAACAACGGTCTGAATGATCTGCTCGGTTCGGAGACGCGGTACCCTCACTCACAAGTGTACGGCGGCAAATTGTTTGACAACGTTGCGATAAGTTCATGATGTGGGATGTCTGGGGAGATGCTGCAAGGCGACCCAAGACTGCCCGAGAACACAAGACCACAAGTTCTAGGTAACGAGGTCGAGATTAAGACCCACACGAGTTCACACCGCGCGATGAACTAGCGCAGGTGTGAGTTTAGCCACCCGCATGCTGTGCTGCTGCGCTGGTTCGGTGCTGGGCCTCCAGACGGCAGGAAAAATGCAGGAGTGTCTGGGTTGAGCTCGAAGCCCAAGCTTGGAGCCCTCCTCGACTTCGCTGCTCTTGTCGGAGAAGGCTCTGGCGAGCGCTATGTGCACGCCTCGGTTCCCCCGTATCTGCCTCTCCAGGTTATCGGTTTTCTGCATGCCTCGCACCGAGGCGGCAAGCCACGCAATTGACTTGTCGCACAAAACGCAAGCGAATCACAAACTGCACGTGACAAGCGCAACGGGCAACATGCGACTAGATGGTTGGCGCTCCAGTTCGCTCGACCCAGGACGCATTGAACCAAAATGGGGCCGACGACGACAACGCAGTTGGCAACAACAGCGGCGTTGACGACGACTGCGGCGACGACGACGACGACGTCGACGACGACGGCGACGACGCGAACGCCGACGGCTGCGTGAACCAACGACGACGGCGATGACGGCGATCACATCAACGACGACGACGACGACGCTGACGACGATGGCTGCGTTTACGACGCCGGCGACGACGACGACGACGCTGACGACGACGGGTGCGTTGACGACGTCGACGACGACGAAGACGACGATGACGACGACATCGAGGGCGGCGGAAACGACGACGACAATTGCACCGAAGTGGGCGGCGACGACGCCGGCGACGAGTTTGCGGCGAGGGCATGGCGCGCCATGACGATGCGGCGACGCCCTGGGCCTGGACCTGCGCCTCCAGAAGCTCCACGCCTGCGCGCAGGGGGTCTGTGAGGAAGGACGATTGTTCCCGCATCTGCCTCCTGCTGGTCATCACGTCCTCACTTCCTCCTGCTCCTCCTCCTGCTCCCTCCACCTCCACCTCCTCCCTCCTCTCTCCTTCCCCTTGCTCCTCCTTCCCGCTCGTCTCCCCTCCGCTCTGGTCCACTATCCTCCTCCATCCTCATGCCCCTTCCCATGCGCGTACCCATCTGACACTGTCACATTCACAGTTCTTTTTTGACAGCAACGCACATGCCACAGAAGAGTGCAGTGCACATGAAGGCCGCGGCGAAAAACTCCACGAGGTGCAAAACGACTTGGTCTTCGCGGACCACATACAGCGATAATCAACCTCACCAGGAAGCCCCGATCGAAGAACATACACTGCCAAAGACGCACTGCGCCAAATAGAAAAAGCCAAGGACCCACATGAACAGTGCGACGGGCGGAGGCGCCACGAACGGAGTACGCCAGCCCAGGACATCATTGAAGAAATTGCTACCGAACCGCCAACAGCGGAGAACTGAGATGAAGTACAGACCCACGAGGTGCAAAACGACTTGATCTTCGCGGCAGCCACATAGAATGATAACGAATATCATCAGGAAGCCCCAAACGAAGACAATACAATGCCAAAGACGCACTGCAACACATGGCAGAAACCCAATACCCAGAACTCCGAGGCAGACGACAAGCCATAATTTGACATACGATCCACAAGCACACGCACACCGGAGTGAATGACAAGCGAACAATACCACTCGGAGCCGAGAGCGAAGAGGTACCAAGGGAACACAAGTATCATCAACTCAGAATGCGAAGCCTCTGAGGTCGTAGTCGCTGAGCGGGCCGTCGTCGGCGGATCGAAGAAGAACCTCGACGGCGCGAAACTATCCACTCCACCTAACGACGCCAAAGAGGCTGCATCTATACGAAAAAGGCGGCCCTCCCCAGAGTCCAGCGGCAGGCCCGCAGGAGACCATTCGCAGACCACGGGAGGCGGCGGCGCAGGTGGCTCGGTTCCTCCTCCTGCCCCACCCTCAGAGCCGTCCGTACTGGGGGGTGGGACCCCAGCACAGGAAACTGCGCAGCCTCCGCGTCCGAGAGCTCGTGGATCTCGGAGTCGTCCTGCACGACGTGGACGGAGGGCCCCACGGGCAGCGCCTCCCAAGTGCCAGGGACGAACTCCGCCGCATCCGCAGAGAGGCTGGTGGGGGCGCGGCCGACTCCCGCCCGCCGTGCTTCGAGGCGAAGCCTACGCTGTGCTCGGCGAAGCTCGCGAGCGCCTGCTATCGCCACGTCGATCTCGAGGGCCTCGGCGCGGAGCGCAACATTGCGCCGCAGCTTCTCCAGCCAGGTGGGCTCCACCCCGTGGAGCGTGGCCACGAAGGCAGGCAGAAGTGCGCGGAGACGCTGTGCCACCTCCGCATCCCCCACGATGTAGTCCAGGGCCGCTTCCGCCGCTGCCAGCTGCCCGCGGACGGCCTGCAGCTCCTCCACGCGCTTGGCCACGGCACGGTCAGCGGACCAACGCGCCCATGGCCGAGAAGCCCGGCGGGCCTCTGGCCTCGGCAGAGCGCACTGGGCGGAGAAAGGCTCCGCCCTCCCGCGCCATTCCCAAGTCCGGAACACCTCCAGCAGCAGCAGACCGGTCGCACATGACGTGCCAGCTTGAGCCCGGGGGGCGCGTCAAACGGCTTGAGCCAAAATGGCTACGGACATTCATTCCAAGGTCTGGTTCCAATTCCCTTTCTCCTCCTCATCCTCTTCCTCTTCGTCCTCATTATCCCTCCTTCTTCTCCTCATCCTCCTCCTCCCTGATCCCTCCTCCTCATCCTCCTCTCTCGTCATCTCTCATCAGCTCTTATCCTCCCTTCTCATCATCTCGCATCAGCCCTTATCTCCCTTATCCTTCTCATCTACCTCATATTTCTCATCACCGTCCTTCTCAGCTCCTCTTCCTCCTAAAACACACCTCCTCGTTGCACCACTAGACGTCTCGGCAGGTCGAGCCTGGCGTCATATCAACGTGAAATTTGAATTCCAACGGCTACGCGGACGGAGAATGGGGTGCGTTCAAACTGCTGATCTGCCGCCCACACTCGTCTAAACTTGTAGCAGCTAAACAAACGGAGGGCGAACAACTGATCAACTATAGGTTCCGTAGTAGGACCGCGTACACTCGTCTCAACAGTTCCCGACAGCTTCACGTCTGGAGGGCGGGTAGGTTTTAAAAAATGATTCTCGCCGAAGCGCCGTACATCATCGTTAACATGTTTCCGAAATGTACACGAATAGAGGCGGCTCCTGTCCAAAAACATTTGCCAGCGCGGACCCCAAACAATGAATCGTTGCACTCTGAATATGTTGTATAAAAAATGCATTCTACGTGACGCAATAGGTTCACCACACGTAAACGTGGTGCAATATATGTGGTGCAACCCATGTGGTGGACGATACAGGCGCAATATATGTGGTTCACGCGATGTGTTGCATGCTACTTGGTGCAATATATGTGGTGCAATCCTTCATGGCACAAAGAAGTGCACAGAAATCTGAGCCGTGAACTCCAGTGCTCGTCAACTCAAATGGTCGATCAACCAGTCCGATCCAGCCAACCACCACTTGCTGGCATAACTCAACTGGCGTGCGTAGTGATGGTAATGATGATGGTGCTGACGGCGAGGGCGGCCGCAATGTTCATGACGACGTTGAGGAATGGTGATAGTGATGAAGAGATGTTTATGATAACGGTGACGGTTACGATGGCAATGATAAAAACGACTGTGTTGATAAGGACGGATGGGGAAATGCGAGCTTTCAGAAATGCAGAACACACTCATCTTCCTCCAACTCATTATGCTGCTCCTTCCTTCGTCCCTCCCCCGCATCTGCCCCTCCTACGCCTCCAGCGAGGGCGGGAGGACAGAGGCCAGAACAAAAGAGAGAAGGCGGACCCGTCCTCTCCCCTCTCTCTCTGTCTCTCCGTCTCTCTCTCTCATGTTTTTGTTTCTCTCTCTCTCTCTCCCTCTCTATCCCTCTCTGTCTCCTCTATCATTTGAGGTCCCCGGGGATCCACCAAGGCAACCAGAGGTCCCCAGGGGCTCCGGGGGTCTCCGAATGCTCCTGGAGGCCCGAAGAAGGGAGAAACGTACGCCCGCACCCCTCCGGGCTCGTACCCCCACTGGTCTC